GGAGGTTTTGAGAAGCGTGAAACCACCTCTTAATTGCTGGTGTTCCCAGGTCCATCCTGAGCTTGAGTAGTAGCACCTGTTAGGGTCCCAGCTATGGGTAAATAGTTAACACCCAAACTGGGGTCAAAACACTACGAAAGTGTAAAAATAGGTTTTAATATCAGAAATACTTTGTAAAAAATTATTACTAGCAATAAATTTTTGAAGAAAAATTATTACCAGCAATACATTTTTGAAAAAAAAAATATTACCAACAATAAAATTATTGTCAGCATTGAGGTTGATATGCCGTAAAACAAACCAAACCAAACTAAAGAAATGAAAAAAAAACCCCAAAAAACTAAACATAGAGATAATTTTCTTTTGCCTTTTGCACAAAGTTTATTTTTAAGTAGTTTTCTTCTAATCCTTCATTATTTTATATTTACTAAAAATTACATTTAATGGTAGCACGTGTTTGAGTAGACGTCCTTTTTAACAGTGAAACTGTCCACTAACCTAGAGATCGAGAAGTCCTTCTAAAGAAAATGTATCTTTTGACAGGAATTGAACCAGGATCCCTTTTTTTCAGTCAGGGAAGCCACTTTTAAGCAAAGTTTTCCTTACCATTAGATATAAGTGAAAAAATAAAAATTACTTTGTTTACGTTTCGTTTTATTTTTTATAGTGATCCTTTCGAGTTCTCTAATCAGTTTCTTGATGTTATGATGATATTCATCAAGGAAGGCAGTGTAGTTTCTTTTCTACTCAAGTACTTTCGATCGCCTCCAAGATCATCTTCAGGGGGGAATTACAAAGATAACCTTAATGTAACTGTGATAAAATCTGCATATAAGTTCGTCTTTGTAATTTACCGCTGAGGATGATCTTGGAGGAGATCGAAAGTACTTGAGTAGGAAAAAACTACGGCACCTTCCTCGATAAATTTCATCTTAACATCTAGAAAATGATTAGAAAACTGTAAAGGATCATTAGAAAAATAGACATATTATGTCTATATTATTCAATGAAACACACACACACACACACACACACACACACACACACACATGCACACGCACACACACATATGCACTACATTACGCGATAACCACTTTTTATTTATCTTAATTTTTTAAAAATTAATGAAGGCTTCACAGAAATATTTCTATTATTTATTTTGCTGAGTGTTTTATATAATATGCATAAAAAACAAACTATATAAATTATTGTAGACTACATGTCGCTCTTATGATGTGACAACAGTTTTATGATTTTTTTCAGGATTTTCCAAGTTTGATCTTATGACCAAGGCTATTGAAACTCTAAGAAAATATTATGTTGTAAAGAAACATTACAATGACAAAACATACAACGTTTACAAATAAAAATGATTTGAACAAAACAGCGTCGTTGTAATAAAAACAAGTTTCAAAGACAGTATGCAAGTGAAATATATGCTCGTGGTTTGAAATTAGTTTTTTCTTTAAATGAAACAGACTAAACATTCTAAAGTTTGCTGTTAAATTGCTGTCCACTCATGAAAACTTTCCTCTTCAGAAGGCTCAACAAATTTTCAACCCAGTTTATCAAACAAGCCGGTCACTTCGTCAAACAAGTGCGTTTCAATCCAATTTTATTCAGATATTAATTAGATTTCTTTTTCCACATATAATGGAATATTGCTGTACGTAAAAATCATTTTCTTTCTAAAAGCATCTTCTTGAACCATGGCTCCACGTGAGTCTTCAAAAAGTGTAGGTTTTGAGCTCTCACATAACATCAACTGGAACTCGCTATGGAACTAGTACTTCAACACTTATAATTCTATCTAAAATATCACACTACATTCGTCTTGACGTCTTAGCCGATGAGTGCGGTTTTCATCAGTAGTCTCACATGCTGTGTCTGGCGTATTGACTGTTGCATCACATTCGTCAATGAAATAAACAGTTGAAAAATCGATCTTAATGTATACTGTAGATCAGGCATGTCAAATTTAGGCCATATGGAGAGCCGCATTGGCCATATCTGCAGCCTCGAGGGCTGCACCTGCTTACAGTCTTACATTAATCACAGCTACTGGTAACTAAACTTTAAATATAAAATACTTACAATACAAGATAGTACAATTTAATCATTTTTATGTTGTCCTGATGATTGACATCACTTTAGACAAACTATTCTCAATATATCAGGTTGGAATGTCTGTGTAGATTCCACTTTGATCAAAGATGACAATTTTTTTTCATCAGTTAATCTGGTTCTTTGAGACGTTTTTGTGACCTTCATGTGGAACCAAACATCACCATAATATTTGTGGCAAAGTTTCTGATGTTCTTAGATGTTTGAGGAAGGTATGAAAAAATCCGTGTACCCCAACTTCTAGGTACTTTCCCTTGAGTGTTGAGTCAGTCTGCATTTCCAGTAGTTCCATCTGTAGACTTTCCTCTGCTTGAGCATCATCAAAAGTGAATGGTGCTGAGAATAATGCAAACTGATCTTCAAAAGATGAAAAATTAAAAAAGTCTTCGCTGAAATTCCTTTGACAGCAATTCCAGGTAATTGTCGTACTTAGCAATGTTAAATACAGACTCAGTATTGGCAGTTTTTTCAACTCCTTGCACATATGAAAATGAATCAAGTTTTCATGCGAAAACGGACTTCAATAAACGTTGTTTTGCAATGAAACACTTGATATCATCATATAACTAAGTGATGAGCTTATTTTTACCTTAAGATCACTTAATTGGGTAGTAATATCCACTGAGAAAGGTAGATCTTGGAACCAGCTTTCATCTTTTAATGCATCTGAGCTTTGACTCTTCATATTCTAAAGCAACAATTTCGTGCCGCAATAAAAAAAAATCTTTTCAGTACCTTGTGACATGAAAGCCACCAAACTTCTGCAGAGAATGGCACATTTGTGAACTGATTATTCACATCTTCCAATAACTGGCTAAACTGATGGTGATGCAGAGCATGATCTCTGATATAGTTCACTGTTTTTATGACAAAACTCAACACAGGATTTAATTTTAAAATTTTAGAACATAAGTTCTGTTGATTTATACAGTGAAAATCCTTGAATGTTGAATCTGGATATATGTTTTCTATTTTTGTACCTAACTTGGCACAACACCATTTTTCTTCCAACAATACTGGCAACACCATCAGTAGATAAGCACACAAGTTTGCTCAAATCAAATCCATACTTATGGAGAAGCTGTTCAACTTTCTCAAAAATGTCCTGGCTTGTTGTATCATGCATTGGGACCAGTTCAATTAGTTTTTCATAAATTTGAAATTCATTGTCACAAGCGCTGTTGAAAACGGCGAGCTGTGCTATTCCAGATATGTCAACTGTCTCATCCAGTGCAACTGTCAACTCAAATCACATACCATTTCATCAATCCATTCATCAACATTGTTCCTGTTTAATGAAGTGTCATGGAATGAGTGTGACATCTCTGGACATACAATTTCAGCTGTTTCTACATGACATTGCTTTATGAAATCTCCTTCACTGTAAGATTTTCCACTGATGGCGATCATTTTGCAGAGTTCAAAGGTTGCGTTGCCTTTCTGAATATTTGTAAAGCAACTCTGTTGTATTAACTTAACCTTGAATTCCTTCACTTTTGAAACACGCATATCTCCTTCATATTTATCATAAGATCGATGGTTTGTTTCATAATGTCTTTTCACAATGCAGTGGTCGCAATGCAGTGGTTGTAAATCAAACAGTTTATCTTTCCATTAACAGTGGTAAAAAAGTACTGTAATTCCCACTTTTATATATTTATTCTCAAAATATTTTCTTCTTAAAGGTTTATGTTTTTTTTTTTTTAATTAGGCTGGCATTAGTGAATTAAAAGTTATTTCCCACGTCATTTCGATGCATGACAAGAGAGTTATATATATGAATGTAGAAATAAAAACAAAAGGACAACTTATCTTAGCCGACACGTTTCGTCCTCTGACAGACTTTAATAAGTCAAATGAGAACGAAAGCGTCGGTTTTCTATTTGTCTTTATTTGTATTGTCCTTTTACAAATATATTTTAGTTATAAATCAGATTTTTACACGCACACACAAACACATACACACACAAATATATATATAGAGAGAGTTTGCTGTAGATTTTGTTCTTGCGTTATACAATTCTTTTTCTGATGACGCAGATCCTCCTACGAAACATGTCAAAGTAATTTTTCCAAATTCACACACGCATATATATATATATATATATATATATATATATATATATATATATATATATATATATATATATATGGAGAGAGAGAGAGAGAGAGAGAGTGAGGATACAGACAGAAAATCTTCATAGTGACTGCCAGTTTCTCGTTTCAGTGCGATTAAATTTTAATTAGCATAATTTATAAAATTTTACATTTTTTAAAATTCCGTATTAATATGTAGCGGTCAAGTGATACTGTTATTAAATTAAATGGGTTTGTGTTTTGGTTTGACTATTTATATATGCTGGCCAGTGGTGCATTATGGGTAGCATGGTCTATTGTATTATCCTGACGGTTATTGAGTGGGTGGTAACGGTTATGTTTCACATTATTCTAGAGGTTATTGAGTAGAAATAATATACATATATATATATTGTCCTGAAACACCGAGAATGATTTGTGAAAAATCATTGTCGACACACTGATGGTGTTTTCTGGGATGAGAAGTCATTATTTAGATGATTTGCATACGGATTATTGTCTTCGTCTTTGTTGCTGTTATTACAATGTTTCGACCGTAGTACATTTCGACCTTCATCAGGCTTATTTCGATCCAGGTAACCTACAGAAAATTTGGAACTGAAATTATATCTACGTTCCCCTGTCGATATCTATGGATATCTTGTCACGTTTTTAATTGATACTGCTCAGTTATTGTTCGCCTCATTTCCACTGAGCCCAAACACACACTTCCCGGCCCTGGGATTGAACTCACAATTACTGTCAGCTATTTCCCGAACCAATACTTTAATTCAATAGACTAGAGATAAAGAGATAGATAGATAGATAAATGGATAGAGAGAGAGAGAGAGAGAGAGAGAGAGAGAAGGGGAGAGTGCTGACTTGCCAGTTACCAGCCTCTGACGTCATCTAAGTTTGAAAATTTATTTGTATATGTGTAAGACGACACGTCTACATAAAACCAGACATTGGAAATAATCAGAAGTATTGTTGAAAGCTCTTGATCAAACATTCAAACAATATGTCCACGCACTAAACAAAGTCAAACGCTCTCATGTTTGTAAACCTGTTTAAAAACAAACAATAATTGTCTGTTGTGTTTAATGAAGTATATATATCAATAAAAATCAATTAGTGGCCTAAAAGTCAGGCTAAATTAATTCCACTTCTTCCTGGTATGCTTACGATTAAAGAAAAGTCGGAAATATATTCTTGGTGAAAAAGTGTTTTATGAAATTTCTTCAAAGCAGCAACATTTTTCTTTTCCAGCATTAATAATAAAAAGCCATTGTGGAGCAGTTGCATATGGTAATTGTTAGTTTAGAAGACACCCCCACTTAACTATTTAAATTTGTTATAACGTTATACGAAAATATTATTGTGTGAAAGATTCAAGTTATTTTAGAGAAATACTTGTTAATTGTTACGCGGCGGGGGAAGAACACACTAGTCAGACATTATCATTTCCATCTTAACAAAGAAGCAGTTTTTTAACGGATATATTTAAAATATACAGGGTGTCCATAAAGGTCGCATGCTTGAAATTAAAAATATAAAATGGCGACTATTTATACAGGGTGCGATGACACCCTGTATATAAAAGTGGCGATTGAAGTCAACACCCAGAAGCGAAAGTTTGTCACATGCTAAACGTTTATGTTTAGCATGAAACAGATTGTCGCCACATACATTTTATTCATGATATCGAACACGTTAACCCATATATATATATATATATATATATATATATATATATATATATATATATATATATATATACATAAAATTTGTCACTTAGCTGATTGATATTATATTCAGATGACTAAAAATAAAAGGTAAACTTTTCCTTACCGACGCTTTCGTCCCTGTGGTAAATGTGATAAAGCCCTTCAGGGACGAAACGTATCGGCAAAAAAAAAAAAAGTTTTTCTTTCGTCTTCATTGATACTGTTATTTTACAGATAGATTTTATTTATGTCTAAATTTTTACACAAACACACACACACACACACACACACACACACACACACACACACACACACACACACACACACACACACACACACACATATGTATACACTTGCGTAAATTAATTGAAAGAACCGCTTTAGTTTCCTTTCTTTCACCATAAGGTCAGTTTTAGACCCACTGGAGTGTCACGATGCAATCGATTTCTATTTTTTCCTCAGATTAGGTCATTTGCGTCATCCTTGATTGTATCAGATTTTTTTCACGCTCAGTCACTATTGTCTCGACTGTCGATTAGTTGTCCTATGACCATTGTCTGCGATGGACATTACTCCAAAGAAGTGTATGAAAATTTTAATGCTGCATGAACACACTGGCAAGCCTTATCAAGGAGCGAATCAATGTACTATAGACTGGCCAGTAAACTCTCCTGATTTAAATCCAATCGAGAATCTGTGGTCAATCTGCAAGGAACGACTTCGTGCAATGGATATACAAAGTAATAACATTTGCACTGGGTCATATTTCATTGGAAAAATACGAAAAAATGTAAACAATAACGGAATTATTCGTTTTGTTTCAATTTGCACAAGGGTGTAGCTTAAAATTTGCTATATTTATAGGGCAATAGTATTCAGACACTGTGGACATAGGACTCTACACTGTATAGACATTGTAAAATTTACGCTTTAGCGGGTTGTGTATATAGGTCATTAAATTAAAGAAAGTGGGAGAAGAGGGAATGGGGTCTCCCCAGCTTCTTTTATTTAGGGATGATATCAAATCTGCTTTACGATTCTAAAGATGACATTAACAAAATCTGTTGGATAGCATAAATTTTTATGCGAATATTTTTAATTCAGATTATTGTCCTAATATTTGTTTTTATAATTAAACATTGTACTCTCTGGCCATTGTCAAGTGTTTTTGATCCGGGTAACCTCCACAACGGCTGAAACGTTGTCATAATAATGACAACATCATAATAATGACAACATCATAATAATGACAACGATAAAGACAATAGTCAAAATGTAAATAATGGTGACTCATAAGAAATCGAGATAAAAAATATTTTAGTGGCGTAAATAAAGTTAACGTCACATATGCAAGACTTATCGAAAGCGTAGAAGTTACTCATTATTTTAACCTCAAGCCAACCATGCTTATACCAATATTATTAGTGAAACAGTTGTTTCTGTCAGACAGGAACAAACTCCCGACTTCTTAAATTGTAAACCAAGGCTATTACTAAAAGTTGCCGAGTGTGAAATGAAAGTCACGTAAAGCATTAAAAAAAAAAAGAACAACTTCGAAATAGGTTTTTGAAACACGAGGTTTAATTATACAAAATTAGCATTTTTTGTGCTGAAGAATTCTTCGAACCGTAAGGAAAACGGTCTGGTTTTAATCTGCTAAACTTTAAACGGATATTCAACTGAGAATTCACTTTTATTTTTTTGTGTTTGCTTGCGTCATCTGTTACAGAATGCGTAGGCTAGACAGAAATGGCAAAATGATAAGTGTGGCGAATGTAATTCCAGACTCTACCATACCGGTCAGAACTTTGACGACTCGAACTGAGTTGGGGAGATTTGAACTCCGTGGGCGTAAAATACTGGCAGTGATGGATTGTCTTAGTTTTTTTTTAAATATAAGACGGAAAAACGCACGTAAACGGGCAGAACGGTTGCGGCAGTTGAGAAATCAAGAACTCTAATATTGTCCGAGCCTTTCTCTCCAAAATATCTTTACGTGTCGTGATTTCAGCAGAGAGATAAGCCAAGAAGAAGCCGATCTATTGACATCCTTTCCCCTCTGTCTACATCTCCCTTTCGCTTCCTTCAAGAACCGATATCTAGGATATGGGCAATCGAAAATAAAGCGAGTAAAGAAACATAAAGAAAAAGTTTGGCGTCAATTGTATTTGTTGCTTCAGCGTTGCAACTTGGGAACCTCTCTATTGCAAAATTGCTGACAGATCATCACAATCCAGAGATGACATGCAACGCATTACCTCACTGCTGAACACGGGTTTGTACAGGAGTCATATTCAAAACAACTTTATTATTTTAAGTTTTATTAAATGTTCGCTACTTATAAGCGAAGTTTTCTTGATACATGATATCTTTCTGCTCGTTTAAAGAGCATGGCCATCACTAACTTTTTAACGCAATTTGTTATTCACGGTCATTAGACCTGTAGTAACATTTAACCTAACAATTGAGTTACACAATTTTCAACAGGCATAGCAAACAAGTTATGTTTCTTTGTGGCTTTCATCAGATCCAGGGACCAGGTGCACCTTCAAGTGCCTAGTTAGGCCAGATCAACTTTTGTAAACGTTTCATATTTTTTCACATATCACATAATAGTTGTCAAGGAATGCCTACTAGTCGATTAATGGTCTGTCGGCATAGCTGCTACGATAACTGGTTGGACTTGTGTTTGACAGACAGACTCGCCTAAACTCTTAGCAGACAAACTGTGACACATCGGTGTCGAGATTATCACTTTTTCCTACTGCTCTCTTTTTTTTGGCCCAGGTATTCGCATTGATACATGCTATGTAGCTTACAAAGTGTTATCGAAAAATTTCCAAACTTTATGCGCTCTGATTGTACTCTTTAACGGAAATGCGCTCTGCTAATGCTCAATAGAACCCAGAGTTTTAAGCCACTCTGTCAATAAGCCTTGACTATATCTATTCGAATTTAGTAATTACGTGAGTTTTGTAACTTGATGGCCTTCCCATCTTTATAGCGGCAGAGATATTCGAACGATACACCGACATTAACTTTTGTTACTGAAACCTTCAAAATGCTTCGTCAGGCTCATCATTTTAGGTAGAGCACAGGCTTTTAAGAGGTGGGCCAGTTTCAAAGTCAGTCAAGTTTCAGTTCAAAGCAAGGATCGTTCAAGGCGATCGGTCACCTTCAAACGAGCAGGAAATGTGGAAAATTTGCGATCTCATCCATTAACTCTCTCACATGACTGGAATTAGTCTGTCAGCAGAATAGAGTTTATGAACTTGACACTAGCATCTAGAAAATTAATAAAATATCAAAAATTGGACTAAGAAACATCTATTGTATCGCAATTTTATGAATTGAAAATGTACAGTAAAACCTCGATTTAAGGAATAAGGCATTTAAAGAAAAACTCATCGGCTATAACGAAGTGACTTATTTTTACTGAACGAATTTAGATAAATGCTAGGACACAGTATTCATCGAGTCCGTGTAAGGTTACTGGGTACATGTCAAACTCGTTAGCCATAATATTAGCTTGAAATGAAATATATAATTGATAAAACTCTAAGGTAGGTTGGACAAGTCAGATTTCATTAAATCTTAGTAAAATTAAACAATCAAAACAGCAACTTGGTATCGAAAAACACAAATAGGTTTTAAAAGCCAATGATGACAAGCATATTTGCATACTACCCGTCAAAACTGTTAGGATTATTTACGCATGAAGCTTAAGAAACTTTCTATCCTTCAGTTATATTTGCAAAGTACATTACAGTGCAGATTACATTAACTGTATCTCTTCTAAAAATCCTCTCAATATAGACAAGGAAAGTTATGAACCATTGTTTTATTTGATATTTTATAGTGTATTTTGTTTAATATTGGTCATTTGTATGTAATCAACACACAAATGACCATTATTACTCAAAACTGTATAAAATATCAAATACTTTTGGATTTAACAAAATGATGTTCACTTGGTGAGCTTTTTCTTTACGAAATGAAGAATGTATGGCATTTAAGGTACATACCTTTACCCATAATTAGTTCTGTAAATCGAGATTTACGATAGAAATCAGGGTATTTTCTTTTAAACAATATTTAACTCTCAACTTGTATCCGTCAGTTACGTGCCATGCGTGATACACACTTGGGATGCGAGACAGTTTTTTCCCCCGCAGTAGGTAG